CCCACCTCTCTTCTAGATGACATCCTTTGTTTGCCGTGCCGTCAGGATGGAGGACTGGCGGCGCTGCTCGAGGCGTGTCCATGACGTCCATGAGGACGCCTCCCGCTCCATACTCCGGGTTTTAATAAAAAACAAAAATATATCAAACTGATTTCCCTTGTGCTTTTTGCTGCGTGCAGTCGCCTGGGGGTAGTAGTGCGATGGGGCGCCGCCTCTCCCCGCCGCGCCTCGTCGCCATGCGCACGCGTTCAGCTCCAGATCAATATGGCGACCGATGACGCTATTCCCCTCCTCACACCCCCACCCCTCAGTACCCGTGTACCTCATCTTCCGCACCTTCCCAGGTCCCAAGGGTCTACCTTCCACCCAATCCACACCACCCGCACACATTTGCCAGCAGCTCTGATGGGGTGGGGGTGTCCTCCTGCCTCCTCTCCCTCTGGAGCCACGGGTGTGTTGTTACTTACCGAATCGCACTTTGTCTCTAATCACATTTTCTCTCCCTTCTGTTTCAGGTAAGTGGTCCGGGGAAACGACGCCCCAGAGCTCGCCGTCGTTAGGACCGGCCACACCAGCAAAGCCAGCAAGACCAGCGGCGGGTTCGTTAAAGACTTATAGGCTGGGCTAGGACGGGCTGGGCTCCATTGTCGAGCACTGGTTTGGGTGGAGCAGGAGCAGGTAGAGCGGGTCAAGGGAACTCTTGAAGGGCTATTGGCTGTCTGTTTATCTCTGTGCGCCGTTTGTTATGGGTTTATTCTCGCGGATATGGTGGTGGTGGGGCCGGGGGGAGGGTGGTAAATGAGCGAGACGGCATGTTTAGCTCAACGTGTGCCTACTTTTCCCCGACCGCGGTGTTCCTAGTCTGGACCGCGTTGTGGTCGATTGTTTCACGTGTTATCTGAAAAAACAAGTTGGGACTTAGAAATGTTTTGAGAGTGCTTCAAAGATTTGATGAGCTAGCTCTGAAATTCAGAAAAAGAATAAGGTGCCAAGTTTTGGCTTTGTATTTTTCAGTTAGGGGTTGGTTGTTTCTTGGTTGGTTTGCCTTGTTTAGTTGTGGAGGGCGCCTCTCCGTACCCGCGTTTGTTTGGTATGCGGGGTCTCCAGTAGTGGTTAGTGAACTGTGGACTTGCTGGTGTTTTGTTGGACGAGCCACTGGACGGCCGGCTCTAGGGGTGTTTACTGTCTGTGTTGTTGTCGATGATGTGTGTGGGATGGTGCCTGTGTGTAGAACGGTAGTTTGCTGTAGGTTGTGAACGTGTCTGCGTATGTGCCAACGTTATTGCGTGCTCTCCCATGGGTTCGTCCAAAAAGTGCGTCCGTTTTTCTCAGATTCATTCGGCAAATTTTATGGGGAGCTCGGCGCCTGTGAGACCCAGGATAGGCCATCCCGCAGCGCACGCATGCACTGCTGGCAAGATGTTGCCTAACTACCAGGCGCTATGAGGGCTTGCTCTGGCTGAACTTGTCAGGTTCGTGAGGGCGAATGACTGGCGTACTTTCTGGACGATCCCCCTATCCGACGTTTGTTGCCATGGGGCAGGCATTTTGCGTCGGAAACTAAGCCGCGCCCCTCTGTTGTGTGTCCCCCTGCTCCCTCCTCCCCTTCCCCAAGTTGTCGCGGCTCCTCTGCCGTTCCTGCTCTCGATGAGGGGCGCATCTGGCCTGCCCCCGCCCCATCAGGGTTATCTCTCTGCAGCCTCGCCCACTCACCCATGCATGTCGTGTCGGCCCGTGCAGTGTTCACGGGGGCCGGGCCGGGGGGCGCGCTTGCAGGGGGTGGGCGCGGCGGGGTCAGTGACCGCGCGGGTGACCCTCCTCGAGCCGAGCTAGGGGCGTTTTATTTCAAGGACGCCATGCGTGGCGCGCGGGCCGCGGGTGGTGGTTAGGGGGGGGGGGGGGAGAGAACCCCCTTCGGCGGCGCTATGACTTGGGGTGCGCGGGGCGGGCGCTTGTTTGTGAGAGACGTTTCAGGTAAGTGGGTCCTGTCAGAGTTTCTGCAGATGATGGTATGCGCTGCTAGGATCCTCCTCATCCCTCACCTTTCCTCAGGCTGTGGGTAGGCTGCACGCTCTGGCACACGAGTGTCTGCTCTCTGTGACGGGCCCTGCGTAGGTCCTGCGGCCCTGCGGCCCTTTGCCAGTGCGGGGGCCAACGACCGCCTGGTTTGGGGGCCCTGCCTCCCTCCCTCCTGCGCCACGAGCCGACGAGCCGATGGGGGCGGTACCGCTAGTACCCGGTCCTAGGGTGTCTCTTCAGAGCGGATGTGGCTCTGCAGCAGTTTCGCTGGAGGCGGCCGCGGGGTGCTTGTCGAGGGGGTGGGGG